CTGCTGCCAGCCCGTGAAGATCTACCACGAGTCGAGCTGGTGCGGCTATTTGAGCGACCTATAGGTCTCATATCGAGTCTTAACTTACATATCTCCTCATATAGTTTAGTTATGTGGGCCACCACATCTACGTATGATGACCCTTTGGCAGAGGAGTTCTTAGTCTGCGTGGGACTAGCGGTAACGGCAGCCGAAATGTTCGTGTTGGATGTAGTAGTCTCTACTACTCTATCGGCTGCTTCAGCTAGTTCAGATAAGAGGGAATGGTTGATTGGAGCTAAAATGGTCTGAATCGCCTGTGGTAATCGTTGTAACCACAGCTGTTTTAAGAAGGCGTCGTCTATTTTGAAGTCAGCCACCAACTGTCTCATTTGACGAAACAGTTGAGTGGGCTTTCTATCACCCAGTTGAACATCTCTGAATAGTTCCTGCACTTTCTGTTGGTCGGTAAGTGCAACGCGCTTAATAAGCGCCTGCTTGAGACGCTCGTACAAGCCCGGGGATCGGTCCGCGAGGACATCAGATACTTCTTCCATGACGTTCTCAGGAAGACTTACGATAACCAGGTTCACCTTAGTTTCTTGTGAGTGCATATGTCGTAGGGCGAACATAGCTTCGATGTGGTCGAACCATGCAACAGGATGATGAGTCCAGAAGGTAGGGAGTTGCATGGTGATAGCCATTTCTGAGGCGGAACTGTTGTCGGCCATTTTGTACACGGGAGGATATATTAATAAAATGATAACAAATATGATAACAAAAAATATGAGTAAAAACATGACAAGTAAAATTTTATAACTCTGTGTGAAAAACAAATTGCCAATATGAAAAAGGACTATTTACACGTTAGGCTACTAAGTAGGCAAACGGTGAAAACACGGGCTCACCACTTGTAAGAGTTACACTTGGGTTAACTTCGACCTAACAATAAACACTTACAAAACTTCTTCACCGCTTATGGCCTTAATCGTACTCTGCCTAACGTGCAAGTACTAACGAACGGAATCAAGGTTAAAAGACCTGAGATGGCAAGTGTGACTGGAACAGAATTGTATTTACACAAAAGAGATATGGAATTTGATAAGAAATAAGAGGTATACACTTATCTGCAGGTGAGACGGTGGTAAGCTCGGAGAGTGTGCTAGGTGAAAGCACAGCGAGAGAGCGAAACCGAAACCGTACAGGAGATTCACGAATACAAAATGGAAGTGGGGTTTAAGGTCAGGCTGAGTTCGTTCAAACAAAAGTTCGGAGGTACGATGTACACTACAAGCTGAAGGACGAAACTACGATGGATGCCTACACCAAAGGTATCAGATGAAAGTCCATTACACTACGTGGCATCATGGAGGAAACCTGTGTGGAATAAAATTGGAAGTAGCTCTCTGAGGGTGATGTTCAAGGAAACGTGTACAACTGTTCCAGGGAGAAAAGAGTCAAGAGAAGACAAGAAATGGCTCTCAACGAACGCCTACCTGGAAGCTAATAGAAGAGAAGGGGATGATGAAAGAGAAGATGACTTAATGCAGAGATGGACAAGAGAAGGAGAAGCCGGTTTCAATGTACACAGGACTGAATAAAGAAGTGAAGAGTACTAGGAAAGACAAACGGCAATTCTACGACGTACTGGCAACTGAAGCAGAACAGGTAGGCCGCATGTAAAAGAGACCTCAAGACATTTTATCAGATAACCAGGTCTCTATCCGGGGAAAGACCAGCACAGATGAAACCAATATTCAAGGTAACCTAATTATCAAGGAGGGGAGTCAAATAAAACAATGGACTGATCACTCTAAAGGACTCTTGAATCGACCATCTTCACCTGCAACCTGGGATACCGCCAACAGAAGACTCTGAGCAACTGCCCGTGGACATCAGTCCTCCAGCAAAAGGAGAAATCTTGAATGTATGTTGTTCGATCCAGGAGAGACGGCAGGACCAGATGGAATCCCTTTTGAAAATCTCAAAATGGATCGGAGACTAAATTGAGTGTGCTCAAGTCACTATTGCAAAGAGTCTGGTTTGAAAGGTGGGTATCTGTGGATTGGAAGAAAGGCTGCCTTGTGAAACTGCCAAGTAAGTGTGCCTCAAACCTCTGCAAGAACTGGCACAGAATCATCCTCTTATCCACGCTATGCGAGTTATTAAGTCTCGTCATCCTGGAGAGACTAAAAGATGTTCTGGATTCAGAATTCCTCCAATAACAGGCTGCATTCAGGAAAGGCAACTCATGTGGTGATAAAATTGCAAATCTACGCATCTTTAGAGGATCAGAGAAGTTCGTCAAATCAGCTGAACCTCAGCCATTTCACAGTCAGCGAATAATTCGTTTATCTGAGGGGCCTGAAACACATGGTAGTTAATATCATTTTCTAAGGAAAAGAGCTTGGCAGCTTCGTTGTGGTGTGATTATCTACTTGTACAATCTCTTCAAATCGTCGTCAATAAATACGTCTTTCAGCAGCCGCAAGTGTTGTGTTCCCCCTTCGTTAGTTCCGGCGTCATTATGAATAGCCTAGGCACTAGGTTAAGCGGACCTGGCTAAGGAGTCAGCAGGTAGTGTGATTAGCGCTCAGGATTGATAGCCACGCATCAGTTGCAAGCGTTATATATAGTCAAAACCAACTGGAAATGAGTTCAAAATCACCCAAACAACCAAAGTTTTTCTCTAGATATCATTATCGAACGAAGCATGGAATCACAGTCGAACGACTCTTTACCTCAACTTCATCGACTTCGAAAGGTCTTCGATGGCGCTTACTGGGAAGTAATTTGGAAACTACTTCAACGCTATGGAGTGCAGCACCGCACATCTTTATCAACCCCATTCAACAGCTATATGACAATGGCATGTGCTAGGTGATCCACAACCGAAAGCACAGTCAAGTTTTCGAAGTGAATACAGGAGTAGGATAAGGCCACCTATTATCACCGATAATATTCCTAATTGGTTTGGACTGAAATATGAGCAGTGTATCCTTAAGATCAAGTCACATGGATGAGAAATAAGACAATGGAGCTTTGAGTGATCATCTCATAAGTCATACCAGAAATCATTATTCTGAAAGAAGCCTAGCTTCCAATCATCTGTGAAAGTCATGAAATGGGTTTAGAAGACATGACACTGTACAGAAGGGACGGGAAGCACCTGAACTTGGAGGGCTCGACTGAGTGCATTGTAAGTCACGTCAAATCAATAATATCCATCACTGTGTCATAAAACAAGTACCTTGAGTGGCTATGATGTTGTAAGGCGGAAAAACGCTAAATTTTCAGTCCGAAGAATTTATCAGGAGGTATAAATTGTGGACATACCACCAAGATGGAGGAGACTGAAATTAGGAGTCTGTTGGTTGTTTGGTTCGGGGGAAGGTAAACAAATAACGTTGATAACAACATGTGCGTCGGTGGCACAGTGGTTAGGACTCTCGCCGACCATGCACATGGTCCGGGGTTCGATCCCCTGCCGGCGCACACCCGATATCTATGGTCGGCCTGAATTTGGGCTACCGATATCCATGCTGAAAATTCCACACTTGTACTGAAAATACGGTGTGGAATCAAGCTGTAAATCAAAATAAATAAATAAACAAATTCATTTTAGTTAATTTAGGTAATCAGTTTGAAACAGCCTCTTTTCGAGGACGCTGCTACTGAAGGCCAAATATTCACTTGAGATGTCTTCGCAATGTGTATGATCCGAGGGTGGATGAAAATACTATTTTGCATGCAGTTCTTGTCTCCCACTCTATAAAGACTATAGCCGACAAAGAGAGAACACATTGTCTGAAACAGTTAGCGGAGAGTCTCCAAGAGACCAAAAGAAGATCGGCACAGGAGTGGGTCGCGTACGTTATTACTACACAGTCTCATCCCCTAGAATATTACAAGGCTATTTGACAGTTATTAATCACTTATATACCAAATAACTCCATTTTCTCAAATCTCACTTATGCCTACACTGTGAAGATGTTGTGCCTGCGTTAGGCGTTGATCGTTCTGTCAGACTACAGAATGGCCAAACCATCCTTGATAAATAGGCTGTTCTTAGATTCAGTTCACATCCTGTCTGAGCCACATTTAAGGTTTGGATTTGAGGGTCACATGGTTGTCTCATCATAATTTTTGAAGAGGGACTCAAAACTTTCGCTGGATAACCATAGGTCTGCCGAAGCTTTTCCACTATGGCCTTTTCACAACAGGTCGCGAAAATTGAACCTACATCCTCTTAGCTACAACAGAATCAGACAAAGTGACGACGTTTGGTAAAACAGTGAATAACCTGACTGGTTTGGATAGATACATACTGAAGGGAACCATAATAATTCATTGGGACTTCCGAGGAAACTTACCAGTCAGAGAGCAGAAACACATCAGCATGCTGCTTCATCTTCTTGATATAAGTATAAAACTTGGACACTGTGGTAGAGTGTAACTCCATTATCCATAAGGGTGCTTCATCTTCTTTTGGAGCACCTTGTTCATACACTGGGTTTCCCAATGATATGGACACTTCCGTTAGTCAGCGAGTTAACAAGGTTATTGGTAAACTGTCACATCTGCAACCATCCACTGGGAGAGAAGTCTGATTAAAGCAGACTGAGTTAGCACATCAAGCGTCCTGCTGATAATATGGATTTGCCTTCTTTTGGCTTACGTTTTCATCACACCCCATTTTAAATATATTTATTTCATTATCACATCAGTATCGACGATTCACTACTTTTATCAGCTCCATACACTTACCTATTAACACTACTATTTTTTCGATTGGTTTTCACAATTGCCCATTGGAATAGAAAGGTTTGGTTCCATAAGCAAAATTAGTTTGAAATAGCCTGTTTGCTATCATACAAAAATAAATCAACTTTTGTCCACTCGTGACATTCAGCAAAGTAAAAGGAGTTGAAAGGATATTATGCCGTAAAGAATTTTACCGGATATTTAGAGAGGGTTACAGCATTAGGAAGTAAATGCTTAGAAACAACGAATTCGCACAGCGTGCACACAAAAGGTATTGAAAATTGAGGATGTAAAACCGCTTTCTTCAAGTAGTTGCGGTATATTTTTCGTTCGCAGGTAAGTTGTATTCTAATGTATATTAACCGTTGTAAAACGAATGTCATATTTTATAGAAAAGCTCATTCTATTAAAAGGCAATGGTGACACTTAATCATAGCAGCCTAAAACGAAACTAATTCTAGCGGCAAATCAGATGGGTAGTAGAATTCTACTTCGAAGTGTGTCAATATGCAAGTAATGCAATGTTACAAAATGGTTATATAAGAAAGTACCCTTGTATTTGTTCCAGGAAAACCTGATTTCTCACAGGAGTCTTCATAGTTGGGTTAAACTAGTTTCTGTACATAAATTCGTCAAGGTCATCAATCCGTTCACTAGGTCGTTACGTTTTGGGCTGCTATAGTTTAGAGTCATCGGTGAGGTCAGTGTGACGCTTTTCGAGGAGTATCATGCTGTTCTCAGGATTCCCAAATGCTCACCTGAAGTTTTCAAAATATCTGCAAATTTAGCAGAGAAAATAATTTCATGAAAATATATTCGATTCGGCCGTAGTTAGGGTTGAGTGAAGGACTGATTTTAAATTTACCTTTTAAAATCGATTAGTCGTTTCAGCTTTGTTAATGCGTTTGCTTGGACTACTATCGTTTAGTTTTTCCCAGTTGATTGGCGAAAGGTGGGCAGCACAGGCGGACGTGGCAAAGCGTGTTTAGGGTTAAGTATGGAGTAACAATCACGTTTTTTCTTGTTTGGTAAATAGAGCTGTTTAGTTTATAACTTTTGGCGACGAAAACTGTTTTTATTGCTGATCTGAGCGAATTCAAACAATGGTAATCATCTATATAGACCTAACCACTGACATTCAGCAAGCAATCAGAGTTGAGGATCCGTAGACGTGATAAAATTGTTAAAAAGAGGTCGGTAGATTCGTGGTGTTCTGAGACCTCTTGGTGTTTCTGATTGTGATTTCTAATCTGCCCCTAAATCCTGATCCTCCTAACAGATGGCTTATCTTTCTAAGCTCCTCCGCGTATGCACGTCCTAATAATTCTAGTTCGTCCATTATTTACACAGTAACCAGAATCCAGATGTCCTCGGGACTTCTTAAACAATTCCAAAACAGAAGGCATCATTTTTTGGTCATACCACCTGTAACTGATTAGTTTTCGGTTATTTTCAATAGTGGCTGCTATAGTTTAATTTTGGCGTAATCCCAGTGGGTGCGTACTGCCGATGATTCACAAACTAGGATAAAACAGCAGCTGTCCAGTACTCCCTGGTTTTCAATGGTTCTCTAACTGATATCAGTCCGTGATCAACTCGTAAAACGTAATCTTTTCAAATATATTCCTTTGGTTTCTGAAAGGAAGCTAAAAACGGATTAGTTGTACTCTTCGAACGATATTCCACCTTGCTACACACAGAAATGCTGTGAAATGTTTTTGTTATACTTATTAGTATAATGGTGTTTGATATAAGTAAAAAGCACTGACTGACTGGATTCAACGTGGACATTTGCACCGATGTGCACCAGTTAGAGTTGCCATATTATGCGACTCACAAAGCAAGAGTAGAGAGTGAAGAGACTTTCAGAAGACAGACAGGTAATAAACAGAAATATGAGGCAAAAAGAATAGTAATGTGGAGGAACAATAGAATTTTATTGGATATTATAAATCACAGGGAGTGAATGCATCTTCACCAGCCATTGAGGACGAGGATTTTGAGCCAGTCACATCACCAGTTGTCTGCAGTCATTGGTCATCCCAAGGACCCTAACCAGGAAGTCTACACCTCCCTAAATGGCTGATTGGCTTAAACTAACTGTTGTGGATTTCATTGACTGATGAAGCCACCATTTGGTTTGACCACCACCAGCCCTTTTCTAACCTGATCCATTCTATGTCAGCTGACATTGCTCGTCGGTCGAGGAAGGCGATGGCTAGGCATGCATGCGTAACAGATGTCCGAACCATCTCAATCCATGTAGTTTCAAAACCTCGTTGACCGATTTTCCCTCCTTGCCTAACACTCGACCGAAGCCTAACCTCAATATTGCTCACCTTATTATACCACTTCACACAGGAGATGGAACGCAGGAACCTATGATGAAAGACAGCTAGCCAGGCTTTTCATGTCTTCCATTTTCAATATTATTGTCTCGATGAGAGCCATGAAGAAGGACAGAGCGGACTTTCAAGCAGTACACACGCCCTGTGGTCGACATCCAGTCGGATATCACGTCTACTACAGAGATGGACTAAGTTAGGAATAGTAGCTTCGATTTCAAGGTCTGTTAAAGCACACATTTTTAATCGAACATTGAATTATTAGTGTGATGATAAACACCTTCACCTAAATGATGGAAAACTTGGCAGAATTCTCGGAGGGAATTAAATTGATAAAAAAAAATGAAGGAATCATAACACCACGTGAAGTTTTCACTCTTTGATCAGTAGGATCAGTGATAATGCAAACAGAATGCCAGTGATTAATCATCACAACAGATGTAAACAGGCACTTCTTAGGGTTTATCCAGAAGTATGAGGCCTATGATTACTTCACAGTTTTGATAAGCGTCGGTGGCTTAACGGTAGAACGCTCGCCAACCATGCAGGTAGTTCGGGGTTTGACCCCCAGCCGACTCACTCCTTTACCTAGCTAAGCCGATAATAAGACTGGTAAAGAGAGAAGGTTAGTCATGAGACTAGCAACCTCCTCGCGTACTGCTGGCGAACCTCCAAAGCTCTAGCTTGAAGCCCTTTGTTCCACTGGGGACGTAAAGGAATAAAAAACTGCTTTTACGAAGCTGAGTTTTTCTTTACTTACATCAACTGATTACAACTTCATTTGTTGTCGTTCTAATAGGTGTACGGAAGTGTTTCGCTGGGGATTTTTTATATTTTTCTCAAAACCTTATGAATTTCCAACCTCAGAAAATCTTCGAGATGATTTTCTTAGATGGTTTTTCATTTGCATCCACTTTCTCTTCATTCCTTACGTTCTGAATGGAACATAGGGCTTCAGGCTTTAGAGTTTCAATAGCTGTGCGATCTTATTACAACAGGGTGGGATTGCCAGCTTCACGTCCAATCTTCCCTTTTTTTCCCCAGCTAAACAAGGTTTCGGTATGTGTGTCAGCCTGGAATTGAATTCGGCTGTAAAGCTACATCGACTGAGATGGTTAGGACATGCGTTACTCATGCCTAGCCATCGCCTTCCTCGACCGACGGGCAATGTTAGGTGACATAGGGTCAGGCTGGAAAAGATCTACCGACACTCAAACCAAAACATGGCTACATCAGTCAATGAAATCCAGAACAGTGAGTTTAAGCCCAACCACGTAGGAAGGTGTAGAATTCCTGGTCTGAGTCCTCGGTACCGTAAGAACCAATGGCTGGAAACAATCGGTGATGTGGCTCAAAATCGTTCTAAATGGCTAGCGGAGATGCTTCCACTCCCTGTGACTTATAATTTCCAATGAAACTATATTGTTCTTCGACATTCCTATTCCTTTTGTCTTATATCTCTGCTTACTGTCTCTATTTTGCATTTCTTTTTACTTTCTTCTCTTGCTCTGTGTACTACATGGGGGGAGTGTGGCGACTTGAACGGCTGAAAATCGGTGAAAAGTTCTATGTCGAAAACAGACAGATAGACAGAATTCGGACCACTTACGTAAGGGGTGAGTATTCCCCCCCCCTCCCCCAACGACGCACATTTCTATTTACTTTACATTTATTATTAATTGATTTGTAAATTGTTAAACATTTGTTTCCCTTTCTTCCCTCATTCAGAAAACAGAAGGGTATTCTTATGCAGTCGAATCAGCCACGCCCAACACCATCAAGTAGTCAAGCAAATGTACCCCGTAAAAGGAATACGCACATTCAAAGTTTGAAGTCTAGACTTCGAACGAATATTAATTCAATTTTGTCTAATTATGAAATGATTCTGTCTCGATCTAAGGTGGGATTACATTTCCGTTGTATAACAACATACTTATAGATTGATCCAAATGAATTAGCTAAAGGATTGAATCCGTATACTCAATGTGCTCAAGATACATTTGAGTTTAGCGTGAGAGCTGCTAATATTGTAAGTTTTTATTTTCTTTAACAGGTTTACTAGAATTAAAGAGTTTAGTGTTTTTTTCTCTCTTCAATTGTTTGTTACTGAGTGGAAAGTTCTCGTATTGAGTCATTTTTATAGATTGGACGTTTATACTTATATTTAAAAGCTGCGTCAATGGCACAGTGGTAGAATGCTTGCCAACCACGCGTGTGTGGCTCAAGGTTCGATCCCCGGCCACCGACGCACTCCTTTACCTCGCTAAGGCAGTAATAAGACTAGTAAAGAGGGAAGGTCGAGCTTGAAGCTGACAACCCCCTCGCGGAAAAAATAAACACCACTGCTAGCTAACCTTCAAAGCTCTAGTTTGAAGCCGCCCTATGTACCATAGGGATTGTAAAGGAATACAATAATAATAAATGACTTGTATTCAAAGGGAGATTCATTGAAAATAATCAAATAATGGTAGTGTACTCCAGGAAGCGTTTTACGCAATGAGTAGAGTCATCTAAAAAAGAATGGACAAGTGAAAGTTGACTAACAGACTGACTGATTTCTATATCGAACCTGGCCATTGAAAGTGGAAGGCATGAAAAGCCTGGCTAGCTGTCTTTGATCATAGGTTTCTGCGTTCCATCTCCCATGTTAGGTGGTCTACTAAGGTGAGCAATATTGAGGTTACGCTTTGGTCGAGTGCTAATAAAGAAGGCGAAATCAATAGACGAGGCTGTGAAGTTACACCGACTAAGATGGTTAGGACATGTGTTGCGCATGCACGCATATCCATCACCTTCCTCAACCGACGGGCGATGTTAGCTAACATAGGATCGATGAGGTTAGAAAAGAGCCAGTGGTGGTCAAACCAAAAGGTGGCTTTATCAGTCAATGAAATCCACAACAGTTAGCTTAAGCCAGCCAGCTGTGTAGGGAGATGTACACTTCCTGGTTGGGGTTTTCGGGATTCTAAGAACAAGTGGCTGGAGACAACTGGTAATGTGGCTGGCTCAAAATCCTCGTTTCCAGTGGCTGGCGAAGATGCATCCACTCCTTATGATTCATAATATCCAATAAAATTGTGTTGTTCTTCCATATTACTATTCTTTTTTGTCTCATATCTCTGTTTTGAATCTCATTTTACTTTCTCCTCTTACTTTGTGTGCTAAGTGAAGTGTGGTGACTCGAACTGGTGCACATTTCTGAAAAGTTCAATGTTGAAAGCAGTCAGTCAGACATCGGACTTTGCACAGAAGTGCACCAGTTCGAGTTGCCACACTACATGAAGCAGACCAAGGAAGACAAAAGAGAGAAAAAAGAGATTCGGGAGAGCAATAAGAAGCATAAATGTGAAGAAGAAAGAATATTAACATCAAACAAGCATGACAGTCTATTAGATATGAGATTACAATGAATGAATGCATCTCAGCCAATGAGACTGATTTCGATGCACATCACTGATTGTCTCTAAACATTGGCTCTTAGAATCCCTTGGGACCGTAACCAGGAAGCCAGTCTACACCTCCCTACGTAGCTGGCTCAAACTGACTGTTGAGGATTTCATGGACTGATACCATGTTTTCGCTTGACCACCACTAGCTGCCTTCCAGCCTGATCACATGCCAGCTAACATTACTTATCGAGGAGGGCGATGGATAAGCATACGTAACACGTATCCTAGCTATTTCAGTCAATGTATTTCCACGACCTCATTTATTGACATTCTTTCCTTACCCGACACGCGACGCCTAACCTCAATATTGCTCACCCTGTTAAACCACGTAACCCGGGAAACGGAATCCAGACACCTATGATCAAAGAGAGCTAGCCAGGCTTTTCATGTCTCCAATGGCCATTTCTCGCTCACAGCCATATAAGAGGCTGGAGAGAACTGCTGAACAGTACAGACACTCTTTGTTCGACAGCCAGTTGGATATCACGTCTACTAAGCAAGAGATGGAGTAAGTTGGCATATGCGAAACGAGCCTTCTTTATCCGTGAAGAGATTCCATCAGCGATCAACCCGTTGGCGTGGGCTGATGAAACTTCCCAAATAAGTGAAGTTGTTAACATGCTCCACCAACCACTTCACTCCTGCCTCTCTTTAAGCTAGGAATGAGTCGATTTAGTCCAGTCCTGTAGCATCATCTTACATTTGACTCCAGGGAATTGATCAATGCGTTCAGAAGACTCTGTATTTTGTCAACATCTTCACCCAGGTCTATATCATCTGCTCATTCTAAGTCAACGAGATTATTCCCTGATGGTAACAAGTCAATCGCTGAGTCACAGAAGTCAGTTAGGGTCAATTCCACTGGACATGTGATCATTTCTATGTGGCTAGCAAGCACTACTGGTGTTGATGTGAGTGTGACATCCAACTGCTCATCTCAATCAGTCCTTACTATGAGACATGTCTCCACTGAACAGTTAGTTATATAAAAGCAACTATCTCATATGTATGTACTGCCGGCTGTATATTGTCAGATAAATTGTAGTCATCTAGGTGTATTGTATTGCTGTTTATATAAAAATTCGTCAAGAGGCTACCACTATGTTACTTAACCGCCTCGAAGTGTTGTTATTATTTATATGAATTTGGCAATATCATGGGTCCCCCCCCTACACAAGTAGTAGTATAACAATCAAAGAAAATTTGTATTACTCTATTTTTGATAACAGGTTTTTGCACAATGGTACGACTAGTTGTTTCTTGAAACCGTATTTCAAACTACATATTAGGGTTTTTGATGTTGCAATGGACACCATCTGTCTCATTAGCCAGAACTCTGGAATCCTGCATCATAGATGATGCAGTCATTCACTTGATGAATCCAGTGGGACTACTACCCGTTTGATACAGATTCTTATTCACACTCTTATTCATTTCTTCTGCACTCCAAACAATCTTACCAGCTTCACACACATGGAGTGGACATTTTGTCTTCAGGTTTACTTTTGCTTTCAATGAAAAAGACACATAATCTGACTGGATTCCTGAAGGCTTTCATTTTGCTGGCATCATCCATCCTTGAATGAATGAGTCTTCCTACTAATTCCAACAATAAATGAGTTTATTTCTATATTTTCTTATATGTTTTCTTTGGTGGGGGGGGGGGGGGGGGAGAACTTACGGAGTGGAGTTGCTCGCCTGATTTTAGATCTTCCTTTTAGTGACTAAGGCTCGTGCGGTAAAACTAAGTGTGGTAACATTTACATATAAAAATATATATTACTGATTAATTGAGATAAGTAGTTGCATACGACTCATGTCAACAACCATTGCTTGCGCTGGCTAGCCAGATTGAGATGATCGAAACTCCAGCCAGTAGTTTCTCTTGTTTGGCGCTGAGTTCATCAACGGTGTACCCAGTTCTTGACTTAGCTCAGAAGGAAGGCCAAATCAGTTCAAATCACACGATTTCAACCAAGTAGCTAGCCAGTGTTAGTTGGCACTCATCAGCAAGGTGAATCTGCAACCTTGCAGGAACTCATGTCCCAGTGCTGCAGTGATAGACTTTACCACTGGGCTAGCTTTTCGGGCTCGTGACTCACCTCCTGTAGGATTGTATTGCATACTTTGATTGGACACTATTTAGTAACTAGTGTAGTGTGTGTCTGGCCTTTCATTTTGGCGCAGACTGAATTCTCTCACACAGTGTTGTACAGTAATATTAACTGATGACCACGTTTCGAGCACAAACTATTGCCACTCATAATCATATCAAGTTACTCACACAACTTCTTTCCTTCATTTATATACATGTGTGGAATCCATTAGAAATTGGAATAAAATTCAATATGAGATAATGTACATTCAGAGATAATAATACGAGTGTTATTGATCAATTACAATTAGATGGAAAATAAGACGAGTGTTTTTATAGTCATAATAAGTTACTTCTTAGGATGTTCTGATGTGCTTGAAGTGTCTAACAAACCGAGCCATAGCACTAAGTAGCACAAGAAAAGACCTAAATGACAAAATAAAGCACAGGAATTAGGGTGGCATTCAAACCTACAAACTCACTCAGGGACAAGCTCTGTAGGTTAAAGCACCCCGTTGATCCAATTAAACAAAATAATATAAATTACAAAATACCTTGCAATGACTGTGAAGTCAATTACATAGGTCAAACTAGCAGGTCGGGGGTAGTCAGATTGTCGGAACATAAGAATTTAGCTAAGGTAAGAATGGTTGACCCCGAGAAGATAAGTAATTTAGAAAAGATCTCAGCAATTGCACTGCATGCATTAACACACAATCACACAATAGGGTGGGAGAGGGTTAAGATTCTAAAAAGTAATATAGGTAGGTGGAGATAGAGAGAGGTTGATTACTGAATCCTTGTTCATCCGGTCTACACCCAACACATGCAACAGAAATGACTCAATGCAAATACCAGAAATATGGAAGACATTACTACCGCCGGTCAAATCAGAAGAGGATAATAAATAATCTTAAAATTCTATTTCAATTCAAGCACAACACAACATTCCAAGAAGTAACTTATTATGACTATAAAAACACTCGTCTGATTGTAATTGATCAATAACACTCGTATTATTATCTCTGAATGTACATTATCTCATATTGAATTTTATTCCAATTTCTAATGGATTCCACACATGTATATAAATGAAGGAAAGAAGTTGTGTGAGTAACTTGATATGATTATGAGTGGCAATAGTTTGTGCTCGAAACGTGGTCATCAGTTAATATTACTGTACAACACTGTGTGATTTATCAAAATAAAATCTTATCTATAATGGAGTTATACTCTACCACAGTGCCCAAGTTTTAATGCTTATATGAATTCTCTCAGTCAAGTTTTCAATGTGTCCAGATACGCTTTTGCTGACTGGTAAGCGCCAACTAGCACGAAACCTAGGTCAAGCAAGGCTCCCTGCCGTTTGCCTTCAGCCATCTAATACCAACAATTCAAAGTGTACTGTGATGGCGAGGCACACCAAGCATCGTGGTGGCCACACTACAAACTTGACTGCACCAACACCAATGACTAGACACACACACACACACGCACATTACACTAGTTACTAACTAACTAGTATCCAATCAAAAGTACTCTTACTTATTGAAAGATGTAATTGATGAACTTGAATTCTATTGTCAGTAAATGGATGATACATTTTTGAATATGAAAAATGAGGATGAAGCAAAGAACATCCTAGATAAATTTAATGAGGTTCATCCTGCAATAAATGTTACTGTTGAGAAAGAAAAAGACTCTAGTATTTCATTTCTAGACATCCTTATGACCAGAAAAGAAGGTGGCACAATAAGAAGAAATGTATATAGAAAACCTACAACAACTGACTGTCAGTATACTCATTTTTTCGGCTTCGTGCCCTTAAAATACAAACGTAATCTGATAAAGTGCTTTGTCCGCCACAGAGTAAGAGCAATCTGCTCGGATGAATGTCTTGATGAGGAACTTAATAATATTAAACGGTTGCTTAGTGAAAATGGTTATCCAGAAAAGTTTATTGATAAGAATATGAATCTAAAATCAAAGCAGTCCAAGGTTACTAGCAGTTCCTAAGAAGGCCTTATTCTTACAAATGCAGTTCCTCAGGGACAGCATCAGCGAGATACTAACACAATGCCTCTGAAATGTGGTAGAAAGAGCATTCCCTGCTGCTGAATTACGCTGTGCCTTCAAAACCATCTACTCCTCTTTTGCGTTCGGGAGCTAAAGGTAAACTGCTTAATTTCGCCTCTTCCATGTGTATCTACCAATCAATTTAACTGCTCCTGTGGAGCCAGTTACATAGACCGTACAGTAAGGCGTGTTTCTCATCGGATTTCCGAACATCATCCTGCATAGTGGTTACGTAAAGGACAAACAAAATCTATTCGTAGTGTTATTCTATCTCATCTTGTGGATACAGAACACAAGATTGATGTTAACCAGGCTTTCAGGGTCATTTACCGCATACCTGTGAATCTCAATTTCGCCTTAAGAGTTCGACTACTAAATATTGCTGATGCTGGCTGTTGGGATCCACTTTAAGAGGCCTAATTTGTGCGTCTAAAGGAAGTTGGTTCAGACATTGTCCTTACCTTGATCATTTAAGTTCGAATGATCCTCAATTTTTGTAGAAATTTCCCTAATTTTAGTTGATATTCTATTTGTTATTATTATTATTTATGCATCTTTAATGAACTGTGGTAATTGCATTGATCATACTTTACAAATCCATATTATTTAAAAAACACTAATATTGTTATTGACAAGTGCCAACTAGCATGAAACCTAGGTCCAAGGCTTCCTGTGGCCGATTACCTCCAACTATCTAATATCATCAAATCAATGTGCACTGTGATAGCGAGCCACCTAGAGTGGTGGTCACAATGCAAACCTGACTGATAGAATTCAGTCTGCACCAAAAGAAAGGACTAGACAAGTCACACTAGTTACTAGTCTCCAATCAAACTACCCACTACAGTCCTACATGAGGTCAATCGCGAGCCCGAATAGCTCAGTGGTAACGTCTCTGACTGCAGGTGGCACTGGGTGGCGCGGGCTCGAATCTTAGAAGGAGGGATATGAGTTCCTTCAAGGTTGCAGATACGCCTTGCTGACTGGTGAATGCCACCTAGCACGAAATCTAGGTGGTGTCCAAGGCTTCCTGTGGCCGATTGACTCCAACTATCTAATATCACCAGAATATCCTATGTATATAGACATGCATATATAATTGTAGAGCCAGAAGAGGAGGATATTATCGAAGCGGTATTATTTGCTCAATTATATTGTGTGTTTTATAGATGTCTGAATGAATATTTTCGCTGTATTGTAAATTACACTATACTCATTATTTCAAGTAAAAGAATACTTATTCTCATACCCGTCCCATCCTATGTCAGTAAAAATAGGATTGGTGAAATATTTAAGTAATAGAGCACAAAATCTAAGTAGTGCCAAAGAAAATCTAAAACAGGAACTGATACACATGAAAGAAGCTTTGAAACTTAATAATTACCCGGATAAATTAGTCAAGAAATATGTAAAGAAATGTAAAAATAAAATAAATAATGATAGTAGCGATAGTGATAATCACAATAATAATGATGATAATAATAATAGTGATGATAATAATAACATTAATGACGACACCAATAATAAGGAATCTAAATCATCAGTAGTAATTCCATACAAGGAAGGAACCTCGGAAGTCTTACGCAGAATTCTTAAAAAGGCAGGAATAAAAGTGGCATTCAAACCAACCACAAACTCAATTAGAAACAAGCTTTGTCGGTTAAAGGATCCTGTGGAGCCTTTAAAACAAAACAATTTAGTTTATCTCATACCCTGTGATGATTGTCAGGTCAAATACATAGGTCAAACTAGTAGAACAGGGGCAGTCAGTCAGGCTCGCCGAACATAAAAACCTTGCAAAATCTAGATTAGTTGATCCAAATAAGATAAGAAATCTAGAGAATAGTTCAGCTATAGCACTACATGCAGTTACACACAACAAATCATACAATAGGATGGATGGGATAGAATGACAGTTTTAAAATCTAATGTCACAGGGTATAGGGAGAGATTGGTAACAGAAGCTTTGTTTATCGAATCAACTACAAATACATGTAGTAGGAATGATTCATCATTTGTCCCCGATATCTGGAAAATTCTACTACAAATAGGAGAAAACTATAAAACTCAAGTGTCAAAGTCGTGTGATTACAATTGATATGATTATGAACAATAAATTTTGTTCGAAACGTCATCCAGTAAGTAATAATACTGTTTCACTGTGTGATATACCTAATAAACAAACTAATATGGTATTCTCATACCCCCCGCCTCTTTTTTGTTATTTTTATATTTTTTTTAGGTTCATGCATGTGAAAATATTGCTCGTCTAGTATCAGAAATTAAACAATATTTAATATTAGGTGATTTTTGTTGGTTAGCTGAGGTCACGGAATTCAATCGTGAAAAACTACGTCGTCGAACACTGGATATCGATCGTGCGACAATACGTTTACGTGATAAATTGATAACAGAATTGCACAGTTTAGACGAGGAGACAAGTCCAGATTATCCTATCCCAGCATCATCATCGTCATTATCATCAGTGACTTCATCGTCAATGGATACAACATAAATATATTTGTGAAGTGTATATCAAAGAGGATTTGTAAAACGACTCAGGTCACACACCCTATGACACTTTTGATCATTTCATTTTTTTATTTGTACAGATTTATGTAAATAAATATATGAATGTTAATTTGATAAATAATTATATTTATTATATCTAAAACAATTAGTTCCCTTTATGAATTTAGATAAAGCAATAAGAAAACGTAATTTGTCTGAATCGTGTAATGTTTTTGCGCAATAATAATAGAGAATGTGAAGTCAATATATCCATCCATCTAAGCCCTTCGAACATGCTAAAAATGACGTCACATCCCACTGTATTTACCAATTTGAATGTACGTTTGGACACACGCATATACATAGGGAGGACTCATCGATCTCTGCAAGTAAGGGCTGGCTTCTGAGCATATTCCTGAATGGCTCCAGAAACAAATGGAATCTTCAGAACCTATTAACAGTGAGAACAAAAGACCTAGCTCTTCTATTGCAAAACATATTATAGAGACAGGACATAAAATTGACGTTAACAGATCTTTTAAACCTATCCTTCCATAAAACGTGTTTGAGGCGTATCCTAAAGTTTGTGGAAGCCCTAGCTAGTAATTAGGAAGTCTAAACCACCTTTATGCGTTCAAAAACAATTCGTCATCACATTAAACCTTCTTTGGTAAATTTTGTTTTGATACCAGCCATAGCAGATGTACTATTACCTGTGTTATTTGGTTTAGTGGCCTTCATTGTTATTTTGACCTTGAATATGTCCTTTTAACTTGACCTGAGTCTATTTTCTCACCTCTTACCTCTTTATTAATTTCATACATATTCCTATGACAAGTCAGTGTGTGATCAGATTGTTCGAAATGTGTTGCACAAATATGCACATTAAACGATTCAAACAAATTACGTCTTCATATTGCTTTATCTAAATTTATTATATCGTTATTATTCAATTCTTTGCTTTCTGAATGGTAGATAGTGGGGACCTCAGTAGCATCCTGTCTTCTCTTCCGCACCTGGTTGTCTGCGGCCACCTCCACTTGGCACATGGCATGAGAAAGTCTAGATTTCTTTTGTGGGTCTGTCATATTCTCATCTTGTCGCTCCCCGTTCAGTCCGGCATAATCCAGGTCACTACAATAAGAAAGATCAAAGACAGTCTGTTCTTACTCCTGTTTTTTTTCAATTCAAAGCATTCAGCGAGGTGTTAACATTGTGAATGGATGGTTAATCCCCACTGATCCAATTTCTGCAAATCAACAGTTCTAAATTAATCTAGTTGACTGATTGGTTTCAACGTAGAACTTTGCATCGATGTGCAGCAGTTCCAGTCGCCATACTCCCTTTATGTGGCACACAGAGTAATAAAAGAAAGTGAAAAGGAATGCAAAACAGGGACAGTAAACAGAGATATAAGGCAAAAAGAATAGTAATATCGAAGAATAATATAGTTTAATTGGGTATTAGAAATCATAAGGAGTGAATGCATCTGCGCTATTCATTGAGAACGATTTTGAGCCAGTTACAGCACCAATTATCTCCAGACATTGATTTTTACTATCCCGTGGACCCTAACTAGGAAGTCTGCACCTCCTTACGTGGCTGACTTAAATTAACTGTTGTGTATTTCACTGACTGATGAAGCCAACTTTTGGTTTGACCACCACTGGCGCTTTTCCAACCTCATCGATCTTATGTCAGCTAACATTCCCCGTCGGTCTAGGAAGGCGATGGCTAGGCATGCATGCGTAACATATGTCTTAATCATCTCAATCCATGTAACTTCACGACGTCGTTGACTGATTTTCCTTCCATACCTAGCACTCGACTGAAGCGTTACCTCAATATTGCTCAACTTATTATACCACTTCACACGGGAGTTAGAAGGCAGACATCTATGCTCCAAGACAGCTAGCCAACCAGACCTTTCATGTCTTCCACTTTCAATGACAGAATGAACTGCTGCTGATAAGTGGTACACACGCCCTTTGGTCGACACCCAGCTGGATATCACATCTGGTAAGCATAAGTTGTCATATCCCAAACTAACCTTCTGTATCCGTACTGAGATTTCATCAGCTATCAACCCGTTGGCACTGACTGATGCAACTTCCCAAATTAGGGAAGTGGTCAACACGCTCAACCACCACTTCACTCCCTGTCTAATCTTCATTAATGACTGATTACGGGGTAGAGTTCTTGAAGTGGTGACCAGTAGGGTCTATCAGGTTGGTTGTGAGGACAAATGCTTGACAATGACATTGGATGACGGTGACGCTATAAGTCAAGTATCGATAGAAGTTAAAATTCATGAGTCATTGGATTTCGTCCCACTAGTCAAAAGCATCTTTTCATGTCATAAGTGTTTAAAGTTTTCAGGCAGAGTAGAATAAGAATGACCTTGTGAATAGTCGGTTGTCAGTTGGGAAACCTTAAATTAGTTCCGTAAAGAGAGAATTTTTCACGAGAGAAAATGTTTACGAGTGCTGGTTTGCAAGGATTTGACTGACTTCAAGTTTGACCGCACATTGGCTTTAGGTAGAGAACCGGTGAAAACTGGGGAGTACTGGACAGTTGTTTCGTCTTTGTTTGGGGCCCTTTAGCTGCGGTCACCCATTACTTCACTAAGGATCGAACATAGCCGCCAGTCACTAGTTTCATTTCCATATGTTGGTTTACGAGGATGTGGTCACCTGGGATGAATCACTAGTGGGAAGCCGTGACCATTGGATCCACCAAGCTGGATATGGGGACAAATTATGCGCAGATGTCATTGACTGGTGGTTTCGCTAGGTATCGTGCATTAACAGAAGTTAAAATTAATGGACCATTGGATTCGATCCCAGTGGTTAATTGGTCAACGCACCTTGTAACCTGAAGGTCCTGGGTTGGATCCCTGTTGGGGTTATGTCTGCGTATTCTAGAAGAGTCTCAAGCTAGGACGAAGCAACTATGCTTCTATACTCCCTGATTTTCAGGGGTTCTTTAACTGAAATCAATCCACGACCGAACGTGAAATTAATCAAATGCTTACAAGTAAGCTCTTGAAAATTATTCTGATGCTCGTTAGTGACTGCCTGCAGGACAAAGTCGCCTGGAGTTCTAGTAAGCTGTCGTGACCAATGGAGTTCACCCGGTTAGGATGCCATTGGCTGATGCAAGCCGCGCCAAAATCACAAATTGTTAGAAGTTGGAATTCATGGGCTGGCTGCTGAGTCAGGTCCCAGTGGCTGATTAGCCTCCAAGCTTGTAACCGGAAGGTCATGGGTTTGAACCCGGTTGGTGAGTACCTACTGCCGATGAGTCCCAAAACCAGGGCGAAACACCTGTCCAGTGCTCACTGTTGGTTTTCCAATAGTTCTCCAACTGATGTCATTCCGTGATTAAACTTGAACTGTGAAACTCAGTTACGTAATTTGAAAACACTATTATTATTATTGTTCCCTTGGGTTCCTAGTGGAACATAGGGCTTCAACTACACGTCTCCACTTGCTTCTCTCTTCTGCTGTACTTTTCACCTGCATCCATGTTAATCCATACTGTTTCAACTCCTCTTCACACAATCTCCTCCATGTCACCCTTGGACGTCCCACTACTCGCCGCTTCCCTTTCGGGTTCCACTGATGCGCGATGTCGCCCATCGGCCTCCTCAGCGAGTGTACAATGCATCTCCACTTTCTCCTGCATATTTGTTGTTGGGCGACTGGTTCTTGTTTTGTGTATTCCCATAGTTTCTTGTTGGTGATTCTTTCCGGCCATCTGATCTTCAGTATAGAGCCAGCGAAGACAGTTGTTGATAAAGGTCTGCAACAGGCTGTTGGAAATATTCTTTGTGACACACTGGCCAAGTTTCTGATCCGTATAGAAGAACTGACCGACTTGACGTCGTTTGTATTGAAAATCCGAATTTTGTTGTTGATGCAGGCTGAGTTGAGTGACGAAGATTTCCAGATTGGTTTCAGGTTGATGAATGTGTTTCTCGCCTTCTCGATTTGACATCCTCGTCCGTTCGTCCTGTAGTTGAGACAATGCTCCCTAGATAAGTAAGTGAATGAAGTAACCTCTTTCAAATCCCTCCCGTTGATGGTGATTGGCGCTGGATGTTGCTGTTGTTGTTGGTTGGTTATTTTCATAACCTCTGTCTTGTCTATGTTCACCTGGAGTCCTGTCTTCACTGTCTGCTTCTTCGACACTACACTAAGTGATGAATATTACTCACCAATAGCTGTCACTAAAGGTGTAAACGCTTGAAAACAAGAATATTGTTCACAAAGATTAAGACATTCAGAATTTATGTATGACGTATAATTTAAAGTTTACGAGTTTGAAAAGTAAGAAAAGGAGGAAACAAGAACGAGTGTATGTACATTACATAACAAATTATTGTACAAGTTAGGAAAGGAGACTTTTAAGGCTGCAGTAAAGTCAGGGATGGGAAAAATCATTTCTCTATACACAGTTCCAGATTTTCTTTACATATAGGAAGAGCTCTTGCCACGAACATATGTAGCCAGAAACCAATTCTGAACTATTATTATTATTTTTATTAGTTTCCTTTAATTCCTAGAGGAACATAGGGCTTCAGCCAAACGTCTCCATTGCATTCGGTTGTCTGCTAGAGTCTTCACCTGGCTCCAAGTCTGCCCACACGCTTTCATCTCCTCTTCACATGACCTCCTCCAAGTCACCCTTGCACTGACGACCAACTCGCCGCTTCCCTTTTGGGTTCCACTCGACCAATGGCTTGTCTAGTGATGTCACTTGATGGTTTCTTCAGAGTATGGCCAGCCAATCCATCTCCATTTCTTCCTGCCTATTTCTTTCACAATCGGTTCCTGCTGTGTTGGTTCGCTCATTGCCAGAGATCTCTGTTGCTGATCATTTCTGGCCGGCCATCTGATCTTGAGCAAAGTATTGAGCGAAGACAGCTAGCTGTTAATGAGGGTCTGTAGTTTGTTTGAGATGCTCTTTATGACGCGCAGTGCAAGTCTCTGATCCGTATAGTAGCACTACTACTAGACGTTACCGTACTTTCTTGTGCTAATTGTGACTAAGCTTGTAAGTAGATGAAAAAAATAATCAGGTGCACCCTCCAACTGACGAGTCTTAAAAAGAACGAAACATGAGTTTAAGATTTGCCACCATCTATT